CTGGAGAAGTGTTCCCTCCATAAAGGTAATATATTCTGGGCATCAGTTACTAGATCATCTTTTTGTGTCCTAAAAGAGTCTGCTCCGATTTTGAAAGCCATCGCATCATTTCATAGAATCTTAGAGCATTACCCTTGTCGGCCAGCTTCTCAAGCTCTTCGTACTCACGCATCTCCTTTTTTGTCTGCACCTGCGTATTTCTTCCCTCTTCAGCAGTCGGTATCTTTCCCATCGATCGCTCGGTTAAAGTAGGTCAAACACATCAACAAAATGTATGCAGTTCCCTGAGTTAACTTATAGTTTTTGAGTAATTTCTTGTTAAAGTTAAAATTCTTACCAACCAAAATTCCCGAATAAAAACTAATATAATCACTCGGAACACTTAAATATCGCTTATAAAGGTTGGTTAGTTGAAGTGGCTGTCGGGCATCGGCACACCTAGGCACCAAACGGGCCCATTGTAATACTACTGAGGATCCCAGAAGACCCCTCCCTACCCGCTAATTAAACCAGTACGTTGAGTCTGCAAAACTGAGATGTTGTCGCATCTTAGCTCCCGCTATCTTCCTCAGGTAAGAAGACCTATAACTGTAGACATATCCTTACTTTTCAGCTGTATAAGGTCATGTGACCTTGTACCCTTCCATTCTGGCCATATTGTCCTGGCCACATTACAATTGTTGAGACTTCTCCATCTTAAGTTGGCATCATTAACGAATTACTCTATAATATTGAGCTAACATGTGGCCCAAACTCTTCCATGATTCCCTATTTTTCTTCGACGGGACGCTGGTAGCATCCAGTTGCAAAGAATCGCAAGGCGGCTAAACCCTTTAAACATTTTAATAGTGTAAGAACTGAAGAAATTATTTAAAAAATATATTATTACCTGTTTCTCCGTAGACAATGAAGTTACTATTTTTCCTTTTAATTGACCATCTGGTTGAGAAAATATTTCTTCAACTCAATCCGGCGTTAATCTATATAGCTTCCGAAACTCGGTAGCATCCAAGTGAAAAGGATCTTCCGCTTCTCGAAGCAAGCTTCTATTCAATGATGAAGGGTAGGATAACTCTTCATCTTGTGATAAATCGTATGCCAAATATTCAAAATCCATTTATTTTACTTTTTTTATTTTTATTTTTGTAGACAATTTCTCGGACACTACTCTTTTAACGCAACAACTTGAAAATATTCGTCGCTTAGCTCGCGATTTGTCGAGTAGTTTACAACAACAGCGAGAGCAAATATCGTTAAATTAAGTATACCGAATATTAAAATCGTTAGAATTATCGCAAAGTCTCCTTTGCGATCCAAAAATCGTTATACTATTCTTAGAGAATATCAAAATCGTTAAAATAATCGTTAAGTCATTTTAACGATCCACAAATCGTTATAATAAGATAGAGAATTCACCTACAGCTTAATTTTCTGTCCAGGATGAGTTCAGTTTTCTGTGGGTTGATGCCTAACCCAGCATCAATGACCCACTCTTCTATCCTCCTCAGTCCGCTTTACAAGATATTTTGCAATTCACAATAACCGCTAGATCGTTCGCATACGCTATGACCCTGCAGTCTCCCTCCTCATCCGTGTATCTCAGCAGTTAATTACCTGCTAAGACCCATAGAAGAGAGAAGAGAACTCCACCTTGTAGGGTTCCTCTGCTGACATCCCTGCCTTTTCGCATATGAAAGAAATCACTCTAGGGTCGTTACCCAGGCAAGTCCGGGCAGAAGTAACTGCATTTGGCGCTGTATTATTAAAGGCACCCTCAATATTCAGAAAAGCAACTAGGCTGTATTCTTTGATCGAGATAGATTTCTCAATTTGGGATACTACCTTATACATAGCTGTCTCCATAGATCTGTCATTCATATAGGGGTGCTGGTTTTTCGAGAGGTTATGATCCACATTAGACCTAATGTGAATCTCAATCGATCGTTCCGCTACCTTAAGTAGAAAACATGTCAGACTTATAGGTCTAAAATCATTCGGTTTGCTATGAGTCACCTTTCCACAGTTGGGAATAAAGACAACTTTTGACTCCCTCCATAGTTTGGGTCTGTAATTTTTCAATATAGCATACAGCCAGCTGGCGCTGATATACAAGGACTGCTGTAACTGCATTTCCTCCAGGTCCTGGGCTTTTATAGGGTTTTAACATACTAATCCGCCACTTGATCTCGCTCTCTGTTAAGAGATCTTTCAGTATGGATATTGGTTCACTCCTGAATGTGGATGCATCAGGAAAGTGAGCATTTGATAGAAGGTCGAGGGCATTAAACGGAGGGTGCATAAAAGTACTTTCCTGAGCCTACTCCCTGCTGACGCTGTCTCCACATTGCTGCCAAAGCTTCTCCAAGAGATTCTTTTTGCCTCTCTTAGAGCTTGCGTGTCGTCCTTTAGATATTGTCGATGTTTCTCCCATAGCTCGTCATCAGAAGATGAAAAAACCGTGTCAAAACCTTTTCTGCAAACTTTCTTTAGATTCCGCAGATCAGAGTCCCACTATGGTGGTTTCATTATGCCCCTCGGAAGTTTTGCTGGGCAGGCTATATATAAAGCTCTGGTTCTAGCGCTAGTGAACTGCCTGCTAATGAACTGCCTAGTGATGGCACCAAGTCCTCGGGAAGAAGTGACTTTAACTCTTGCCTATACAATTTCCAATAAGCATATTTTAAATTTCTCATGGGTTTGGCATTAGGGACTATCCCATCTATTTCAAATTGAATATAACGACGATTGCAAAAGGAGTGCTCCTTAAGGACCCTCCAGTTCTTAACCTCCGCTTCGGCTTCCGCCGAGATCAGAGCTACATCTAGAACCCCTCTTCTATTGCTAGGGATAAAGGTAGGATCGTTTCCTTTGTTGCTTATAACAAGTCCTAAACTTAAAATGAAATCAAAAAAATACTCACCACTTTCGTTTGCACGGGTGCTTCCCCATGCTATGTGGTGGGCGTTCACATCCCCTACAAGATTAAACACGGATTGGGTGGGTATTGCTTTTTCGTGTGCCAGGTATATTGAAGATAGTCTGAAGTCACGTCCTTCTACTTCAATACTAATAGTTGTAGTGTCTTCGTCGCTAACCTGAGGAAGAAACAAGATCTTTAGGTTCCAGCCAGCAAGAACGCAGACCCTTGGCTTATCATTACTAGCACCACTTAAAATGCTGAATCTTAGTCCACATATTTTGTTCCCGATCACCCAGGGCTCCTGGATGAGGGTTATGTTTGGTGCCCCCGATGCCATCTGGAGCAGCAGTGCATCAGTGGCTAGTTTACTGTGGTGCAGTTAGTTGCCCCCACTGTCATTCAGCACATTCCCCGTATATTGTCTGAACGTAAGATCCAGACCTAAGGACGAGGTGGATAAAGCGTAGCCATCCGTTGGATCCACAGGATCTTCCAATGGCATGCTCTCACCTCCCTCTTTAACTTCTTCCTCAACCTCCTCTCTTCCGGCTCTACATCAACGATTAGGTTTTTTGCCGCGTTGAGGCCGTTGTCGTACACCTTGACCGTCACCCTGTCGAAGTCGTGCACAAGCACTGCTTGACTGGAGCTAGGCTCCACCTTTACAACTTTCCAATCGGTGGTGGGTAGCTCCGGATTGAAAAACCGTATCATCTTTATATCATTATCCGAGGGCAATAACCGCCACTTCCATTGGGCTCTAAGCACTTTACCCTCTTTTGTCCTTTACCCTCTTTTGTCCTTTGACAATCTAAGGGGGTACCCTGGTTATCATTGGTTCCCATGCTCGTGAGCTTCCGCTCCTCCGGTTTTTTCTGAATAGTGCCGGTCTCTTTTAGTTTTGAATTTTTCTAGTTCGAATCGCTCATGATCCCCCGAGTAGCACAGAAGAGGTGTGCCTACCCGAGCAGAGATCCGCATTACCCGGATAAGGCCATGAGTACTTTCTGGTGCGACCTAGTTCTAGGAGACTCCGTTCGAGACTGGCCTATTTAGGAGCCCCAGCCAGGCTGATCCCCGGCACGAAAACGCATAACACTTTGATCCGGCCCACCCTAAGACCGCGATTAAAAACAATTTCTATATGACATAGCTATTGAGAAGCATACGCACCTAGCACTGATACCCGACAACGTTAGGGCTTGCCATGTAGTATCCATTACCAGTCGGCAACGATTTAATTTTATCTAAACATTAATATTTTTCATTATTTTTTCACATAAAAAGTGGCTTCTCACGTTTGTTAACCTTAGTAAATGTCCATATGCCACACCCTTGAAAAGTGTATTACCTTAACATCTCTTTCCAACTCACAAAGGTATTTCACTTAAGAATACTGTGCAAGGCGAAGCCGGTGTTGGTCCGGCTCAGGGTAATTATTTTTAAATCCTTAAAAATGTAACAATTCAAATAAAAATGCAAATGCAACGATGTCTTCTATATAAAAAAATTTGATTTAAAAATTAAATATGAAAATGAACATCTACTCCCTTGTCATATGGTGCCAATTCGTTTATATAGCTTTGTTCAGGCGAAAATACTGAATTTTTAATTTTTTAATTTTTTTTTTCGCAAACTTCTTAACATGCGCCTTTTTGTCCTTTTTTCTTCATCTTTAATTAATTCTAAACATAAAATGTGCGAATATATTTTGGTATTTTATTCATGTTGTTAAATCGAACATCTGATTGTTTTTTGCCTCCTTTTTCGCTGGTAACAAAATTTACAGGGTGACAGTGAACTCAGAATACGAAATAGTAACGAACTTTACTGAATGATAAATTTTAATACCAAAGTAAAATTTGTTGCCTAGACAGAATAGGCCTGATATACGTCATTTTATTTTCTAAATTAAACAAACAATAACAATCTGAATAATATATTATTTGATATTAGCAATGTTTCTTGGTGAAACCATTAAAGAAAGGTTATGCGAACGTACCGTGAGGGTTAGCTCCGGTTGCGATGTGTATACAAAAACTTAACATAACTAGAAAAGTAAAGTAATCGTTAAAAGGAACGATTAATCTGAGTCCATTTAATCAATTGTATACCTGAATAATTTCCAATTGTGTTTCAATGTTAGTAAGACAAATTATAAATTTATAGTAAATTGCTGAAAAAATCTGAAAATTAGTTGGAAAAATTGGATAGAAGTAAAAAACCCATATGAAATTTTACTTGTGTTATTATATATATTCGTTCCTGTAATGCTGGTATCAATATTATGTGCAAAAATGAGTGATTCAGGTGACTTTGAACATTTATAGAATAAGTGGAAACGGGTCGAAGGAAAGTGCGTACATGTTTTTAATAGGTTGAGAACTACCTATTGGATAAAAGTTGTATACTGAACGTAATAACAAAAAGTGTTTATAGTGTATGTACAAACATACCTACGTACGCCATTTTGAATATTAGACCCATTGCTGAAATCTTTGTTGATTTTTCGTTCTGAACAATTGAAGTTTCATAGTGTCGTTGGTCTAAACGAAACAGGAAAAGTTATATAACATACCATATAATATACTAGTGGATTGCTATATAAATAGAATAAAGACGCTTTGTTGGCCAAGGTGTAATGTTTACTAAGCAGTGTGATCAAATTAAATTGTATAACACAAAGGTAAAACGCGTTATTGTTAAAAAAAGACTAATTGTTCATCCATCTACGATGTTTAAGAACATAAACATTTGCGAGAATTTCATAACGGCTATGATAGTATTCCAATTGAGAAACACATTTAGAATCCGAATTGCCTGCCAACCGACGAGAATAAGAGTTCATGTCTAGATTGACCATTGCAAATTACTTGCGTGAGTCGTCCGAATAATTAGGCCTATAAGTTATATGCATCGTTAATGTAAAAGATTTCAAAACGGTAAATAAATACGTGAAGCCTTCAGGATCTAAAGAAATATAGCAATTAATCGTAACAACTAAATCAAGGGATCATTTATCAACAGTTGGGAGAGTCAAACAAGCTTACTCTAACATCATGAAGTTATTGGAGAGCTCACGATTTGAAGCGATTAATAACGCACTGTCTATACAGACAGGCGGGAGTACCATTTTTGGTCGCATTGAGAGCTATTCGTGCAAAATGGTAGCGGCGGACAAAGCTCTTTATAAAAGATTTACCGCTGAGACACACGGTGTTGGTCCCCATGATTTACAGGCTCTTTCGCCACCCCAAACTTTAGCTGATCTTTCACCAAACTTCCATCGCAATAACAGCCAATCTGGTGATGAAGGTATTATCCTATGCGATACCATATCTCGCAAGACTCTTTTTTACTTAATTGCAACATTAAACGCTTCATTTGAGCCAGACTACGACTTTTCTGATGCCAAGGTATTGTATTTTCCTTCTAATATTCTATTTTTGTATATATATGTACATATTAGTAAACGAGTCTTAAAGCTGGACATTTCATCGTTATTTTAAATATATTTGTTATTTGTTTTTTTGAACACGTTTATTAAATAATTTTATTTCGATTTTACAGTCTCATGAATTTAGTAAGGAGCCATCGCTGCAATGGGTAATGAATTCGGTCCATTCAAACTTATCAGCTCTAGCTGGAGACCAATATCAAGTTTTACGTCAACCTTTATGGACTGCAGTTGATGATGAAATTAATTTATCTGATTGTGACATTTATAGTTACAATCCTGATTTAAGTTCTGATCCTTTTGGAGAGCCTGGCTGCTTATGGTCGTTCAATTACTTTTTTTATAATAAAAAATTGAAACGCATAGTCTTCTTTACATGCCGTGCTGTAAAGTAAGTTAATTCTTGAATGTACCTAATATTTCCTCAAATATTTAACAGATTTTGTTCATTTCAGTTCAATTTATGCAGGCGAGACATCTGATTTTTCCATGGAAGAAGATGTTTATTAAATGCTGTACGTTATCCTGAAAGTTAGCGGAACTGTAATACCACAGCTTTGTTTTTAATCGATATGGAAATAATATAATTTTCAATCATTATAATTGATGTGAAGATATCCTTAAAAATGGGGAAGTCCGTTTGAACTCCCGTGAAAATCGTAATAAGATCCTGTAAGGTTAAAATATGTATTTTACTGTATGTATATCTTTTCAAGTATATTTATTGGCATAAAAGCAGGTGAGAGCTGCGATGTGAGAATTTGTGCCTCTAAATATACACGATGCCAATAGTTTAGTTTAAACCTCGGAATTTCAAATACACAATAATTAAATTGAAGATGAAATTCTGAATTTTTGTGAAATGAAACGATATCCTTAGATTAAGAATTTAACACGAATTCAAATATCTTGGATTTCTAAATACTGATATTGATTAAACCTTTGTATTTTTGTCCGTTTTGAAGTTTAGCACTCCTTATAAACTTCAATAAAAACGGAATATTGGATTGCAAATACAATTTGCTATGGATTTTAATTGTATTGTTCTTTAGTAATAAGGTAATATTTTTTAGTTTCAATAAAAAAAGAAAAGCTCTTATTGAAACATAATTTTTAACATTTAAAATTAAATCTTCTCTTTGAATTCAAATAAAATATATAATAATGGTATTCAAAAATATAATAAAACGCAAATTTATTTCACTTGCATTCAATTTCTTTTATTCCGTCAGATAACTTTAATCATGGTCATTTTCCCTTTTCGAATATTTTGTATACTTTTCCATAGTTCCTTGGTTATTTTCCGACGATACTAACGATTGCAGATACAAATTTAATAAGTTGCGATTGCAATGTGCCAATGATAGAACTCCATACTGAAATGATATACAATATTTGAATATTAATTATATTTATAAAAAAAATTGGGGAGATCACGGATGAGATTATATAACTGAGTACATACTATTTTATTTTTTTTAATGCATATAGAACTACGACTATTTCCATAGATAATATTTTTGTATGTTAGGTTGCCCCAAAAGAAAACTTTAAAAGAAAGTTAAAACATTCAAAAGAGATATTAAAAACTTTATAATTTGTTGGATGACCTTTCGCTTCTTTCCTGCAACATCATTATTCCACGCTCATAGAACTTCTGGCCTTTATCTGCAAAAAACTGAACTAAGTGCGATATAAGAGCCTCGTCATTTTCAAAAGTTCCACCATTTAATGAGTTTTGTAAAGCTCAAAACAAATGGTAGTCTAAGGGTGAAAGGTCAGGTCTATATGGTGGATGCATCAACCGTTTGCAGCCAAGCTCTCTCAGTTTTTACGATTGACCAATTCTGTCCGCTTCTCGTTAACGGATGTATTCGATTTGTCCAGTTGTTCGCAGTAGACATTCTAATTCATCGTTTGGTTCCTTGGAAGCAGCTCAAAATATACCACACCCTTCCAAGCCCATCAATCTGACAACATAATCTTAAATAGTCACAAGCTGAACAAAAAAATTGTCAACGGCGTCGGTATGAAAAATCGCCGGTTTCTTTTGGGACAACCCAATGTACTTAAAAATGCTACATAAAGATACCTTCAATAAAAGTTAAATTAAAATATTTAACTACTTAATATTAATAGCTACATAGATGAGTTTATTACACTACAAATACACAGATGAATTTACTACCTTTATGCAAAGTGGGTACCATCTGTTCTCCAAACGTCCACCACTAGGGTTAGCGACAGCCAAAATTTTTCCCACGTTTTTAATATCTCTTTTCAATAGAAAATTCCTGGCTAAAGACATTTTTGTACTTAGATCGCTCGAGCGCATGCTGTTTATATCATTTTCAGGGCTACTACGGTGTATAGCTTTCGAACAAGAATTATTTCTATCCTTCCATGTTATATGTTGTCCATCGTTTATCACATCCAATGTTTTATCGAATATACTTTTAGGTATTTTTATAACTTCATTCGTTTTTATTTTCTTGTATATTTTACCACTACGCCGCTCTGAAGTAGACATAATTATAAAAGCGTTATTATTTTTGTTTGACTTATAAATATTATTGTTTATTGTTTTGAGAAGAATAATATTTGTTTCAATTTCAATCATAGGGTAACACCGAGTTTATAAATTTTATACCAATTCTTATGGCCTGTTTCAAAAGAACATAAAGAAGAAGAAGACATAAACGTATATCATATCGATAAAAAAATAACAGTTTCAAATAGTTTATTGAAATATTTCAAAGTTAGGCGCTTGCTTTTACATCCGTCCAGTAAAAGCAAATTATTCAGGTTATCGAATAACATTGAAAACAATAAATAAACAACTTGTTGGGAAGTTTCTATCAATCTTCAAATACTCAGTGTCACTCCAAAATGGAAAAACACGTCCAACAACCGGACGGCATGCAGACACTGAACGCCATTAACCAGGGGTCAGTTAACATCTTCAAAAACTCCCTTTGCCTGAATGGCGTACTCGGAAAAATGCAAATATATTTCAAGGTACATACAATTGCAGTTTTGCTATTTTTGAGGTGCATATGTGTTTACATACATATGTTGATTGAGAACAGGACAGCATATATATGTTCATTTATTAAAAATTTGCTTTGAATTTAAAGAAGTTAATAAAAAAATTAATAAAATATTTGCCTAAAGTAGCTTCATTTTCTACCCCCACACAAAGACCGTATGAGTCTTTTCGCTTCTTATTCATATACGTTCTTTGGTATATACAATGATTGGAGTCCCAAAGTTACCCTGTGTTTCATTCCAAATAAATTTTCTATGAATGGAAATTATCAGTAAACATTAACTCATGAAAACATTTGTTTGTCAATGGTGGAAAATATTTAATTTGTGATTAGAAGTTATTTTTTCCGATTTTAATTAATATATATTCAGCAGCAGGAAAATATGTAACTCAAGGTGTTCAGTTGGTATGCGTTACAATACATTTATAAAGTAAGAATATCTAATTCAACTGATTCTTCCTCCGCGACTTTCAGCAAATATATACAAATAAAATAAAAAACATCATGTCAAGAGATATCGACCAAGAAGTGTCTGACACTTTAAGTACCCTATTGAATTTTGATGAAGATAATTTTCTAAGTCAAGACGAGGTTGAAGAGAATTTAAGAAATTGTCTAAGCAATGATCACGTTGGAGATATTTGTGGTCATGATGATGACAAAGGGAATCACAATTATGATGATCCATCAGGGGCTGGTGTGAATAATCATCTGAATGATACTAACAGCAATTCCTTAATAAAACAAGTGATACAAGAAGGGCATAGAGAGGAAGATGTGGCACATCACTTTGCTAAAACTGAACGCGAGGAAGTCTCCGACAACTGCGATAAATTAGATAGTATTATTGAAAATGCAATTGGCATCAATGTGGGAACAACGTTGCAAGCATTGAACGCAGAGGATGTTGTCACTGGCGAAATAAGTACATTAAAAGAAACTACCGCTTTTAAAACTAAATCAGGATCTGTTACCATAAATAAACTAGAACCATTAAAAGACCAATCTCCTGACTTAGCATTTGAAAAGTCTACAACACAAACCACTGTAAAGATGGAATTTACTTGTGAGTCCGAACAAATTTTTGAAGAAGATATGGGTGATTATTATATTGAACATGACGCCAAAAGCGATGTCAACTTCAACTGTGGCTCACCACAGGTACAAATGGGATGTGAAAATGAAGCAATCGATAGAAATGGGAGTAGGTCAATAAATAACACTGGGGTAACACAAGAGAAAACGCAGGACTCGTCCCTCTCCGTTGATAAGGAAAATAACATCGGCCCTATAAATGATGAAGCCGACATTTCTTGCATAATGAACGACCATAATTACACTTTTCAAGAGCGAATTACTGATGGCGACGGCTTACGTAAGCTGCTTCTCACACATATTTTAAGTAAAACTAATAGCTCCACAGCCGGCAATTTAGTTACCGACTTTGTAGATAGAACTTTAGAAAGCATAGACGCGTTTAGTATAGGAATCGACCATAAAAAAACATCTGATCGCGACACAATTAACTTAATTGATATTTTTTCTGATGAGAATACATCTGGAAAAGCCGTATTTGATAAGAGTTTGAAAAACTTTTCAAGTAGTTGTTCTGGAGATGAAAACAAATCAACAAATGCCCTACCTATATTGGTGCAAAATGGCATTGAAAGTACAACTATGAATATATCATCTATATCTTCAACACATGAAATTTTATCGGAACCCTTAGAGCATGCTATCGATGATAATTTTTTAGAGAAATTAAAAGACAGCGGAGAACCAAATTCTGAAGGTAAAAGTTCAATAGATTCGTCTCATATAAATACTCCACAAAGCTCGTTAAAAGATAAAAATGTTAAAATTTCTGAACATAATATTGATGACGAATTAGAAAATATTTTAATGGATGTTACAAATGAGGAAAATTGCCAATTAACGTTGGAGAAGGCCAAAAGCGAAAATAATCTATCAATTTCAGAGCACACTTCACTGGATTCTGATGTTCCTAAAACTGAAAAATTTACTGTCTTTTGTAAAAAGCTTTGCAAAATGGACATAGAAAATTCTGAAGAAACTCAAAAAAGTGAAGAACTTGACACCACCGAGGAATTCCTGCATGAGGAAAAGATTACAAATAATTCAAATGCTGTTGACTGTGTAATTGAAACTTTGGAACCAAAAAATTTGAATGTATTGCAAGAAATGGGAGTTGACGGAAAGGATAATAGCGATTTCAAAACTATGAATATTTTGTCTGTACCTTCACCATTGGAAAATTGTTCAGAGCCCATGGAGCATTCAACATTCGACGAAGCTTTTGATATAAATTGTAATGAAAAACTGACAGTGATTCATCATTTAGAGGCACTTAGAACATTTGCAAAATCTTTACAAAATGATTGCGAAACATTTAATTCCTCAACAACTACAATCGAAAGTAAACTACAAAAATATCTTCAAGAAAAATTTGAAATATTTAAAAAAATAGTCAAAACGTCTTCTGCATTGCGAAGCGGAGAAAAATCCATTCAAACTGATACTAGGCTGTCAAGACACAAATTGCGAAAACTCAATCAAAATAATAAGAATATTTTGTTAGAACCTGATTCAAGTAGTTACAGTGATGACAGCCATTCTGAGTCTTTAACAAAATATCAAGGTTATAGAGCTCGAACAAAAAGTTTCTCAAGGAGATCGAAAGTAGATGCGGCAACAGAAATATTTTATGGTAACAAGAAAGAAAGTATAGCGGCGGAATACGATGATGGGGTACCTCTAGTAGAGTATACACAATCAGAAATATTTGAAACCGAAACGTTTTGTAGCGAGTCTTTCTCTAATATAAGAAATGGAAAGAAGAAAGATAATTTTGATGACAGCACAGAAAGTGGTGAAAATGGTACTTGGCAACGTAAGAAGGGAAATGCTGGTAACAATTCCCCTAGGAATGAAACGTCTCCAAATGAAAGTGACAAAGAAAATTCAGCTGGTAAACCTATGAGCTGTACTAAAAATTCTCAGAATGATGACAAAGAGATTGAGAGGTGGGAATAATTTATAAATGATATTGTACAATTATTATGACTTAAATTTCATTTTTTTTATCTAGATTGATAAATTTGAACGGGTTGATAAAGCGAACAAGTGTTGGAGCACCGAAATCAGCTGATTTAAATGAAAAAGTTAAAACAAAATCCTCCATTAGCAAAAGCAAGGACATAGCAGAAATTTATAGTGATGACGAAATTCAACAAGAAACATTTTCAGACATGACCATAAGTGAAGTAAGTATGTATACACATTATTATTAAATTTTCCGATGTGTCTGTTTGCAATACACTAAAAATTAAAGTGAGTTTCACATGAAAATTTGGCTAAAGGAACAAGCTGTATTTGAAATATTTTATATGCAGTCAACTTTTACCATTAGTCAGGGATGCTATTGTTTTTAGCAATAGCAGGTTTTCTAAATTATTAAGAAACACACAATTTTTATAGTGTATGAATAAATGCGCTTTAATTTCTCACTTTTGGAATTTGTGTATATTTATCTGTCTTCACTGCTGCGCAATTGTCAATGCAAAGTATGCATGTAATGTGTAATCAATATATTTTTTTATATTAAGAAATTTCCTAAAGTTAAAGCACAGCAGCGTTTGAACAACAAAATTAATAAACGCAGCTTTTTCATGTACAGCAAGAACATCGCCCAGTCCGAGAAATTTTCCTTGTTTATTGATATATTTTTATTGGATACCTTTTCAATCTGCAGCAAAAATCGTTTTATTTCTATTTCGTCGAATTCAATGTCTTGGTGGAACTCTTCGCAATAAGGCCACGTACTGGGTTCAGATAATAAAAACTGGACCACATCGAATAGTCGAAATGCGTTAAAGTTTTAGTTGCTTTTGTGCTGGGTGGCGGCCGCAATAGTCGAGTGGCTAGCATTGCGTATTGCCATTCGGAAGGTTCGGGCTCAAATCCCGATTAAATTTTCTAGTTGCTGTCGCCCCTCGGCAGGGAATGTCAACCACTCCGAGTGTATTTCCGACATAAAATAAAGCTTTTCGTAAAAAGCACCATCAGCCATTCGGCTAATTATAAACTGTAGCTGCCTACATTCAGCGGTTACAAAGCCCCAATTATTTATATATTATATTGTAAGTGGCTTTAAAGCGGATACCTTTTATTTAGAGGCCAAGAGGACAACGGAGATATCTCCTTTATGCTCAATACATAAATATAAAAAAGTTGCAAACGCATTTTCGTCGCCCAACGTGTGAAGTTAAACTTCCTTTGAGTATTGTATAAATTGTGAATAGCAGCGTGAAATTTTCACTGTGGTTATAACTTCGAACGTTTGTTTCCAGTGACACCATTTTTTATATAACATTGTATTTAGTAATTCATCACATCCGGTTTCAGATATCCAAATATCTTGTGGGTGGATTTTAAGTCCTATTCTGAAGCAATTAATAAGATCAAGTAGGCCGCTACTACAATGTTTTCACTGTCTATATAATCATCAATATAATGGTATTTTTGGATTGCTTCTACCGCTCTGGGAAAATCCTCTAATATAATGACTCGCGTTTTTATCGCGTACGAATTGTGCTGTGTAGGGAGCACAGTTTGTACCAAACGTCAATGCTCGTATGTCGTAAATGTTCGGTTGTTGGGAGTTTTCATCTTTGATGCGATGAAACATCTCATCTTATTTGGTTTTGTTGCTACGAGTATGGGCAGGTACCATACCTTTTCCCTGACCATATGAACTTCAGATGCTGTTAGTTCTTAAGGATAAACTTTTGCTACCAGGTTGTTTAATTGCTTCTGAAATTGTTCTCTTAAATTTGGTCACACTTACTTTTGGGGACATATGTGTCGTTTGAGAAACTCTATGGTAAAGATATATTTGGATTTCGCTATTATAGACTAATTTCAACTTTGCTGCAGGTAGAATTCATTCATAGCTTTACTGTGATCCGCTAGGTAGCTCTTATCGGCAGTTCTTCTGGCAGACGCAATAGTGAATGTTGAGTCGGTAATCATGGTCTCCTTGAACTTTTCAGAATAGACGGGACGCAATCGGTTGCATCCTAATTCCCTCTTCTATTGCCGATTGGAACAGCTAGCTTCCAATTATCCGCGCCAATGAGTAACGAAGGTTTATAAACTCAATTTTCAGACCGTTCAAGTATGTATATTTTTCGTTGATCAATTGCTCAGTTAAATTCAGAGCGATGCCAGTAAGCGCCCCATTCAGTGTGTATATGCGATTAGAAGCTGCGTTAGAGATTTAAATTGTCGCTCTTTCTAATTCATTTTCGGTGCGAGTAGTGTAAGGCCAAGCTCATCAACAAAATTTTTCTTAATCAATGTTACTGCTGAACCTTCGTCTAAAAATTGCAAAAATTTTACCTTTTTCCATTACCATGAATGAAAATGGGAGCAATCCTAAAGTATGTTTGATTATTGAACGTCTGACAGGGATAACACATTAGCCTGTTGGTTTGAATTTGTTGCTTTATAATGCAGTGGTCTATACCGCGGACGCACCGTCGACAAAGGCTATTTGATTTTATAATGTCCCACCTACAATTTAACGGAAGCTTTTAAAAAATGCTACACTACGATATACTGTGATCGGAACTTTTACAATAGTTGCACAGTTTTGTTTTGAAAGAAGACCTATCAACTTGTTCCTTATTCTGCGACGTAACACTGTGAGTGTTCATTGACTCAACTTTGGTCGGCGGAAGGGATACGACGAGTATAGGATTTTGCAAATGTATATACATCTGACATCCTTCCATAGTTGTGCAGATGTTCTTCACGCATAAGACAAAATCAACTCATGTCACGTTCAAGAATTTGTTCGGGTTTGCTTTAATTTCTTACTTTTAGAAATTTTGTATATTTCTGTGTCTTCACTGCTGTGCCGTACCACTTCAATTGTCAATGCAAAGATTTTTGATGGTATAGCCTGATATTAACGTAGAAACTATCATACACTATTCAGTTGTACTTATCGTCGGCAACAAAAATTATTAATGTATTTTTAAAAAATTAATTTAATTAATAATTAATAATTATTTTCTCTTTTCCCTTTAAGAGTGAGGAAGAGATCATTACAGAAAAACAATTTTTGGAACGCTGCAATGAGAATGTGAAAAAACAATTGCTAAGTGACACGGATAGCGATATGTCCGATTCAGGCGCTAGTGATAACATAGAGGAGATTTTCTCTAGCAATGAAGGAAGCGAATCGCCATTACTTGAAAGATTTCTTAAGAAATTTAATGTCGATGAAAGTGATGAAGAGACTGAAAAATATGATGAATTGAATAATGATACTTCTATAAAAGAACAGGAGGCCTCTGATGCCAAAAATACATCACTTGATAAAAATAAAGCCAATTCATCTGAGAATTCCGATTGTGAAGTACTTGATATGGATATTGTTTCCGCAACACAAAAGCAAATTAAACCCAAATCCTTAGAAAAAATGTTATCTGTTGTTGAAAAAAGAAAGAAGATGAATAGACTCTGTGATTCTATAAGCCTTAGTTCGGAAAGTGAATCATCAGATGTGGAAGCAGTAGATGAAAGTAAATCACGCATTAAGCCAATGCTTAGACCTGAACAACTGGCAACCGTAACACGTGAAGCTCAGCGCAATGAAACTGAACGTATACGACGTTTAGAGAAAAAACATAAAGTGTTGACAAAGTTACTAAAAGAGCGACCCGATGTACAGGACGATAATCACTTAATCTTAGATTACAATGAAGAAACCAAAACCTTTATAAAAGTTCATCCGGATATAGCAAAACATTTGAAACAACATCAACGTGACGGCGTGAAATTTATGTACGACTCCTGTTATGGCGGTGTTGAGGCGCTCAAAAAGAGTTCTGGTTCGGGTTGTATTTTAGCGCATTGCATGGGCCTGGGTAAAACTTTGCAGGTAATCTAAGGTATTTTAAAAAATTTTGATACTGCAAACCAATCAGGAAAATATAAATATATATGTACAATTGCTCGGTCTATTAAAGTATTTTTTGTTTTATATTTGTATATATTGATAATAATAACGTAATTTATATGTACGTAAATACTTTAAATTTTTATTTATGATTGTATAAACCTTACAGCTTATAGCATTGCTCCATACGGTTATTTCATACAAAGAATTGAAGACATCGAAAGTGCTTGTGTTATGTCCCAAAAGTACAGTCATGAATTGGGCGGATGAAATTGATCGCTGGTTGGGACCACTTAAACCCAAGTATTATACATTTCATGATACCTCGTAAGATAAATAAAAATTCAAATTCGATGTACAAACTAACTTTGGGTTTTTTCTAGTGACATCAACGATAAAATACAAATACTTAAAGATTGGTCAATGGCATCACCTAATGCCGCTGGAATTTTATTAATTGGTTATGAGGCATTTCGAACATTGGTATTTTATCATTCGTATAAAAATCGGAGTATCGCTCAGTCACGATTGGAAAACATTCGAAATGATGTTGATAAATATTTATTAAGTCCAGGTATTTTAAGTCAATATAAAACCAAAATTAGTTAATTAATTATTTATTAAATATAGGTGCCGACTTAGTGGTGTGCGATGAAGGTCATATTATTAAAAACAGTAAATCTGCCATCAGTCTGGCAGTGTCACAAATTAAAACACAAAAACGTATTGTTTTAACTGGCACACCCATACAAAACAACTTAAAAGAATGTAAGTATATCTTAGTACTAATTACTACGTAGTTGGGGAAAAAATAGTGAATTTTGTGGCATAAAAAAGATAATAAATAGTGTATCTAAGTGCAAAACCGCGGCGGCCGATATAGCCGAGTTAATATTCCGTATTGCCATTCGGAAGCCCAGGATTCGAGTCCTGGTCTGACCTAACTAATAGAAAATGTTAATAAATGTTAAAGAAAAAAAGTTAAATTTTCTTCTTCCGGTCACCCCTAGAAAGGGAATGTCATTGTTAGTATTAACTGTAGATCCCTCCATTTGGTAGAAAACATCAATACGCATACCACAAATTAGAGGAGCTTCAGCGGTTATATAATATATAAAAGCGCAAAACCTTAATTTCCATTACTGTAAGTGTTTCTATTACATTTTATTTGATTTATTTTAACCTATAATCATCGGCAGCGTGTAATTTTCTAAAATGAAATAATAACTTATTAAAAATTTCAAATTAATTGAGCTGAGTCTTGGTTAGGACCTTATATTTGACTTATCTCAATAAAACTTGCACCTATAAGGTTTTTCTTCGTATGAATTGAGCAGAAGTAGATTCCTTAGTTTGTAAATTACCCGTCACTTCGAATTGCTCAAGCTGCTGGCTTTGCTTCAAGCGCACAATCGGTTCCAAATTTACCCATAGCCTGCTGATAAACCTCTTTTCTAACGTCATCGGTTGGCTGTCGTGTTCGCCGATTCTATTTTTTGCATTTTCATTGGAATCAACCAGCCTCGAGAAGTTTTCTTTCGTTTATTTAAACTATCGATTTAAATCTGAACAAGTAGCATAAATTAGTTTCCTCCAAAAATTCTTATTACAAGAGGGCATTTTTGTTTTAATAAATTTATATTGTGAGACAAGTGCTTATAAGCCGTCTCCGCGCTGTATCGTGCTGCTGAAGGCTGGAGTGCTGTCACGCATCCAGTCAAAAATGATCTAGCCTTGTTTAACATATTAAGTTACTTTACTGGAGTAGACACCGCTTACGCGGTTATAGCCGATTTGAAACAGTACGCCATTCGTTTTATCATTTTGCTGTTTGGCGCCAATTGAAAATACCAAGTACAGCCAGGTGCTTCTCTACCTGGTCTTTTCAACGAAGTGGAGGTCTTCTCTACTTCCACCGGCGGGTACTGCATCGAAAACTTTCAAAGCTGGAGTATTCGCATCCATACGGATCACAAGACCTAGCCAGCGTAGCCGCTGCTTCTTGATTCACTGAACTATATCAATGTCGCCGTATAACTCGTAGAGCGGTATTCGCCGTTGCCAACGCACAACGCGCTCCTAACGCCGTCCCACCAGATGCTGTCATCGTCCATGCTTCCGCACCATATAGCAAAATGGGAACGATGAGGGACTTGTAGAGTTTGGGTTTCGTTCGTCGGGAGAGGATTTTACTTTTCAATTGCCTACTTAGTCCAAAGTAGCACCTGTTGGCAAGAGTGATTCTGTGTTAATGCTGGTTCCTAGATAGACGAAATTATCTACGACTTCATAGTTATGACTGTCAATCCGTAGGAGTCGAGTCGCGATTGCGATGACTGTTTGTTTGTTGGCAGGAGATATTTCGTCTTGTCCTCGTTCACTACCAGACCCATTCACTTCGCTTCTTTATCAAGCCTGGAGACTGCAGAACTAACTGCGCGGTTGTTGAGGCCGATAATATTATATCAGTTCTGTAGCTTTATTTATTCTCTCCAGCATCAAAATGAAGAAATCATCCTGTCTAAAACCTCGTTTGCTACCGAACGGCTGGGAGAAGGCCTTCCCAATTCTGACTGCGCTTCTGGTGTTGTCTAGCGCCATCTTACACAGCCGTATAAGTTTTGCGGGGATATCAAACTCAGACATAGAGGTGTAAAAGCAGCTCCTTCTCTTAATGTAGAAGGCGGCTTTAAAATCGACGAAGAGGTGGTGGGTGTCGATCCTCTTTTCACGGGAAATTTCCAAGATTTGTCACATGGTGAATATCAGGTCAATGTTTGATTTACCAGGTCTAAAGCTACACTGATAAGGTCCAACCAGTTTGTTGACTGTGAGTTTGTTGGTTGCGAGGTAGGCAGTCTGTCACAGTACACAGTAGTCCTCATCGTACCAGTTGTTTTTGCGATCTTTACGAAATCCAATAGTTTCGTTTGCAGATGTACACCACAGGTCCCGTATACCGCGTTGCTGATGAGAGCTCTTAGAGAGCAGAAATGAAAGTCGAGTAGAAAAGCGTCCGGCAGTCTGTTGAGATTGCAGCTTTTCAACGTCGAACTTTCCTTGTGTTTGTTGACGGGCGTTCTTCGATACACAGAGGCGCATGCGTATCCTCGCTGCAGGAAGATCATGGTCCGAGTCGATGTTGGGTCCTCGGAGTGTACGCACATCAAGAACGCTGGAGACTTGTCTTCCGCCTATCACAACATGATCGATCTGATTTTGTGTTTTTCGATCAGGGGACAGCCAAAAAGCTTTTTTGTGCTGTAATTTATTACTACAAACAACCATTGTGAAGGCTGAATTGTCTAACAGTCGTACTAAAGATACCTTCTTTGCCCACCTTGGCATTCAAGTCGTCAAGCACGATTTTCACGTCATGTCGGGGGCAGCACTCGTAAGTATGCTCTAGGCGCTCATAAAAGGCATTTTTGGAAAATCGGACTTCTCTTCCGTCGTGGCGGGGGCGCAAATCAGCGATATGTTGAAAGCAGTCATTCTCCCTCCACAAATCCAACACCAAAATTGTTCTCCTTTATATGGCCGCTGTAGTAAATGTCACAAGAACTTACACGCTTTCGTCCTTGTCCCGTCCATCGCACTGATGTTAGGCTTTATTCTTACGAGGACATCAATCAATTGGGCGGCGGCATCTTCCCAATTAAGACATTCAGGTGCATGCCCTCAAATCGTGATCCTTAATTCGTATGCGGGGGTACCTCATCCGAGGAGTTGTATAATTTTTCATTGCAGCTGGTTTCTACGTGGCGGATCCCAAACCCAGCGCACAACCTCGCCAGGCAAGTTTTTTACACATGTACATCATTAGCCGTGACCCAAGGCTCCACCCGGGTTGGTTACTTAATCTTGCACTAGGGTTGCTTACGTTTCCAGGGTGCGCAACGTGGACGCAAGAGTAGGAACTGAGTATCGCCTCGCAACTGTAAAAGCATACCCAGAAACTTGACTACACCCCATTTACACCCCAACACGAATGCTTAAATATAAAATTGAGTGCTTTTATTATATGATAAAAGAATAACTAATAATAAATTATTTTTTTATTCTTTGATGAATAGATTATAGTATGGTGAATTTCATAAAACCACTATTTCTGGGAACGGAAAAAGAATTTGCTAATCTGTATGCGAATCCTATTAAAAATGGGCAACACAAAGATTCTAGTAAAAGGGATATACAAGTAATGAAGCAACGATCATTTGTACTTCATAAGAAGCTTTCCAAGTTCGTCCAGGTGAGTTGAAAAATGCTTTATCAGCAAACAATAAAAATTTATATAAAAACAAAAACATTTTAAAGTTTTTATTAATAATTGTTTTATTATTATGACATCATTAAATAATATTTATATTATTATTCACAATAGAGGAAAGAAGCCGAGTTGCTGAAAACATTTTTGCCGCAAAAATACGAATATGTACTATTTGTTCCAATGACAAAGGTTCAGGTAAGAATTGAACGAGTTAATATAAACATTTAATAAATGATAATTTTTTGTTACTGAAATTATCTATAATGTCCTCTGCAGGCTATTCTTTATGAACATATATTGGCTATAATATCGAAGAAAGAGGATAGAGGCAAAGGCTTAATTACAGATTACACCTGCTTACGAAAGGTGAGTTGCCTAAATAATATTAGCCATGCACGATTCACCACTATTTGGCTTGTTATGCTTGAGAGCTATTTTATTTTAAAAGTGTTTTTTTTTTCGATCAAATTTGTACGCAAAAGTAGATGAATCGTCGTCGTCTAATAGCTGAAGTTATTTATTTCTCTTATTACTTTTATGAATTTTTAGATTTGGACTCATCCCAAAGTATTGGAAGACGCTTGGAAAAACGCAATGGCTGTAAGAAAATCAATGAAATTAAACGACAACAATAGTTCGTTCATATATTTTTTTTTCGTTCAACAGCAAAAGCACAGAAAAGATCCAAAAGCGTGTAAAAATCAAGCAGTTAATTCAGATGACGATCAACCCGATGATGTCTATGACAGCCAAACCGGTGTGATATCGGTTACCAACGACTGGTGGCGAAGCTTACTTACAGAAAAAGATTTGGAAACCATTTTGCCTAGCAATAAGCTGCGCACAATGTTTGAAATATTAAGAATGTGTGAAGAAAAGGGGGAAAAATGGTTAGTCATTCATCTAACACTTTGTAATAATGAATTATATTGTTAGTACTAATTTGCAGTTTAATCTTCTCCGCATTTGTCGCTGTATTAAATGTTGTGGAATATTTTTTTAAAAAGATGAACGACAAGGATCCAGATACACTAAAAGAATTAAGTATGTAACATAAGCAGAATACAAAATGTTTTATATTTTTCATATACCTGGGGGTTGAGGTGACTAAAATCGAAAAGTATTCTCTATAAGCGGTGCTTGGGGAATTTTTATATTTAAAAAAAAAAAAAACAATTAATAAATTATACTAATACTGAATTTACTTATAGAAATGTCACAAGGCTATCAAGTCAAAAATACCTGGATACTCGGAAAAGATTACTATCGTTTAGATGGAAAGACACCGAAACTCATACGTCATGAAATGATAGAACAATTTAATTCGATATCAAATAAACGTGCACGTGTTTTCTTAATATCCTCCAGAGCAGGCGGTCAAGGTATTAATTTAACTGGCGCCAATAGGGTTATAATACTCGATACGTCATGGAATCCATCCAACGATCAGCAAAATATCTTTCGTGTATTTCGTTTGGGCCAAAAGAAAAATTGTTACATTTATAGATTACTTGCAATGGTAAGTATGCTTTAGTGAGGTAATTTTGGCCCGTTATAAGTTAAACAAAAGGAAAGATCAGTGAGATTTTCAAGAAAAATTAAAAATGAAAAATGTACATAAAAATTATTAAATAATTTAAAATTAAAATTAAATGTTTCAAATATTTATGTCTATTTTTGTTTCGTTTGAAATTCAAGTTTTATAATAATCAAAATGTGAAAATTTTTATTGTATGGCAAACTTGTTTGCGATAAAAAATCATTTCTTTTCAAAAAAAAATGTTTCTCATATAATTAGGTGCATATGGTGTAAAATTTTTTTGTGTATTTTGTTTTTTTTTTTGTTTTTCTTCATAAAAATATTTGAAATTTAGTTATTTTTATTAAAATTGAATTAATGTTATTATTTTGTCCATAAATGTATATAATATAATATCACTAGTGAATTGTACGAAATATTTCAAATTTCTATTTTGGCGAGGAGCTCTATTTGCTTTAGAATTACCCCTGCGGGTTAGGGGCTCAAGAATTTACCCGCGGTAGGGCATGCCTGTCGAAAGAGGCGACTAAAATCCAATAGTTCCAGCGACAGTCGGGTCTTTATACCGGAACGATCCGGATTTTTATCCGGCGAAGGACTGTCACTCCCGCAACATTCCCAAAAAAGTTCTTTGGGGAATAATTTTGCGGTTACAACAACAACAACAACATATGCTTTAGAATTTAGAAAATGTGTAACTGGCTTATTATCAGTGTAAATAGTGCAAACTTTATCCTCAAGATATGTTAAAGGTGTTGCCAAAAGTTCTCTGTCGAATGTTGAATAATTAATTTCAGTTGTACTTAATTTTTTCAAATAATACGCTAATAAATATTTCGAATGTGTTATTACTTTTTTGTTGTAAAATAATTCCGATTGCAACTAATTCAATTGTCAATTTTTTGTCAAAAAAGTTTTTTTTTACATTTTCAAAAGTTGTAAACGCTAACATTTCTAGCGGAGCTATTAACACCTTCATTTGAAATTTCATAGCTAAGAAAATTTTAATTTATTTGTTCCAAAAATACACTTAGTAGGTTAAATCATCAATGTAAATAAATACGAAATCTAATACAGGAAATACTTCGTAAAAAAATCGTTGAAATGTTTGATCACTGTTTCTAAGTCCAAATGGCATACTTACGAATTTAAACATTCTAGAAGGGTTTTAATTGTTGTTTTATTTATTTTATTTCAAATTTATTAAGATCAAGACGACGGTGTTTAAAAAATGGTTTAATTCTGTGAAGAAAATTGATTTAAAATATTTTTAAATGTATTATCGACAATAGGAGTTCAGAGTAGCTGAAACCTGTAGATCCAGAAATTTGAAGTTTAGCTGTAGAATTAATTATTTCCTTACTCTTGATATCTACTAAAATTTTTCGAAAAAATTATCACCAATAATTAGAGCTGAAATATCAGCAGTTTGAATTTTGAAGTCTCTTCTTAAATCTAAATGTACAAGTATATATATCTTGGGTCTTTTATATTGTGCCATTTTCCAACAAATGGCGCACACAGCTGCCACAGGAATACACTCGGAAGGCTTGAAATTCATTGCCAAGGGGCGACCGCTGTAAGAAAATTTAATTTTGATGCAAATAATTCTATATTACATCCGTTAGCATCCGAAAGTTTAAGATCAGAAATTGTTTAAAAGATATTAGTTTTAAAATTTAATTTGATAAATTAAATTGAAAATAAAAATACGATTTGTATTAGTACAATTATTAAAAAATAGAGGAATTGAAGAAACATGAGGCAAATTAAATAAATCGAAAATTTTATCAGCCAAAATAATTTCATATTTATTTTATTAAATGCATCCGAATATTTTGGGATAACTTATGCATCCATATTTTGAAAAGTAATGACTATCGACCACCAAGTTGAATAAAACAATCTCTAAGAGAAAATCTCTCACTAAAACTTTCTTAATTGTAATTACAATAACGAATTTGTTGTTGCATATGTTGAAAAGGAATCTATTAGCGTATAAATATTGCTTGTAAATCTTATATTTTTATATAATAGAAGGATTTTTAATATTATATATAACGCTAAGTTTTGGATTCTAGGGAACAATGGAAGAAAAAGTATACTCACGTTCAGTGACTAAGCAAGCTATGAGTTTCAGAGTGGTTGATGAACAACAAATTGATCGGCATTATAGCATGGCGGAGTTAACTGAATTATACAGGTGAAATGTATTTTTATTACTTAACATTTATAAAATATTTATTTCTTTATTTATTTAATTTTTTTTTGTAGTTTAACAATGCCAGATTATGAAAACAGACCAATGCCGGATTGTCCACAGGATACTATATTAGCGAGCTTGCTATTAAATTATCCCAATCTGGTGTATAAATACCATGAGCATGATAGTTTACTTGAAAATAAAGTGGAACAGGAATTAAGTGAGCAAGAAAAACAAGACGCTTGGGCAGCATATGAACGGGATCAGCAGTTAAATTCTGGTATAAATAACACGTTCGATTAGTCTTTTTTTTAAATTCATTTTAAACGTTATTTTTTGTAGAAACTCGTGAGCTACCTAATCCGGATGAGTGAGTAATGGAAATATTATTTATATTGATTATGTGTATTTTCACAATCTAACTTCCTCTTAAAGTTATAATAGATATCCTGAGGATTGCCTATAATATATACTATTTTTTAATTGTGTTAAAAATAAATAAAAGTTATAGCTTTCACTTTGGGAAAAGTGCTATAAAACACTTATATTTGTAGAACTGTTGTGCTTATATAATATTTGTTAATTTTTTTTTTCACAGCCTGCAGAGTAACCTTACAACACCTAAATTCCCTTCGTACATGAGTTCTTTACCTGCTTTTAATGTAAGTATTATAAAATTAACTATCTTTAAACTTTTTTATGTTAATACTATTATTATATAAAAGTCTTTCGAGTTGTATCACTATCACAGTTGTATTATTGTAGTCCATTAAGTCCAAAATTTGTTAGCCATTTTATTACGTTTTCGCCCAAAAGTACTGTATTATTATTATTTTCTATTTAATATTTTAGCAAATGTCAGCGCTTTTCAATTACGGAAATTATTCATCTGCAGCGCTCTCCACATACTTGCCCTATCTTTCCCATTTGGGAAATTATGCTACCAATCCGCAATATTTAGAAATGCGTAAGAGAATTGCGGAGGGTGCATTTGCCTATCCAGATATCAGCACATCTCTAGGCGCTGCATCATTTGGTGCGCCATTTGGTCAAAATCCACCGAAATCAATGCCCAGCAATCCGCTTATGCCGGACTTGCCAATACATAGCAATCCATTGCAGACAAATCCGCTAAGTGCACTCGGCGATTTGAGTATGTTCGGATTGGGAAATGTCAACAATCATATGGCACATAATGTAAATGCAACAACCTTGCCACAAAGACAACATAACTCTCCGCCGTTTGTGTCAACGTCGCCAGCAACAGCAAACAGCTTGCAGCCTAATTATGATTATCAAATGTATGAAAATAGTTTGAAGAGTCTTGTTAATTATAGGCATGACTTTTCTGGAAATGGCAATAAATCTAAAAGTTCTACCAACGCCGCTGTAAATCAATTTCGGAATCCACTTTTTCCCTCGCCCACCAATCTGAGTTTCGATAAAAATACGCTCACGTCGTTAAGCAGTCACAGTCCATCGCCGAAAGCTATGGAACATCCCACATCGAAATCACAAGCAGATAAAACATCAGCAAATCAGCAATCTTCTCCAGACATATCTTTACCCTTAAATGCCAGCACTAGAAACGAAACGACGAGTATGAACAAAAATAATTTTTCGGCAGCAAACACAAGTAGCGCACGAAATTCACCGCTGCCACAAGCTACCGCCACCAAACGAAGTTTCCCAAGCGAAGTTTCGCTATCGAATACAATGAATCCCATCGAGGGTCGCCTAACACCAAATCAAAAGTCCGCTAAAGATGCACTACAAAGTAGCATGGCGAGTTTTCAATCATATAAAAACAATATTAATGCATCAAGCAGTAGCGGCATGTTTACAAATAAAAATACAGTTGCTAAAATATCAACTGACACCATTAAAACCAATTCCGAAATGCAAATTATACCAACAACCAGCTCACCGGGCTCATTGAATGTCACAAAGCAATTTGGCGATATATCACCAAGTATTTCACTAACTGCTGTTACGAACGTCAACACCGGCAGTAACATTAAAAAAACTCCTTTTAATCAATCAAAAACTCAAATAAAAAATCCCGCCATTAATAAAGCCACCACAAATAGTAATAATAATATTACCACAGAATTGGCTGCGTCTTCGAAACCTTTTTCAGCGGCAGGTACATTTTTCGAAAGCAGTAAAAAAACGGCAACGGCAACTCACACCGCTTCAAAGCCAGCGCTTACAATGACAAAAACCAAGCGCGCAACCCCTGATTCGATTTTGAAATCAGCTCCATCTGTATCTGCACAAAATGTGTATCAAAAAAATGCCACCGACATTGCACCTAAATTATTAACTTCTTCAGTTAACACAAAAAATAAGAATATTCTTCAAAGAAAACAACCTGAGAATATGACAATGCAACAATTAAAATCTCCAGCACCGACATCTCTAGCCACATCGCTTGCAACGGGTAAAAATCTTAATGGAACACCAAAAGCAACTGTAGCAGCTAAACCGTCACAATCATTGCAAAGTGATGCAAGAAAATCTGTATTATCTATGGAGAAGAGATTACCCACCATCATTTCTACAACTCAATCTGCCTCTGGAATTCAAATACATAAAGCACCATCGGCTTCGGGCACACTCAAAATACAACCCACTTCTTCCAAACAATCGGCAGCATCATCGTCCTCATCAGCGGCGGTGAATGATAACAAATCTATTCTTGAGAGTTGCATTAATCAAAAGAAGTTTGTTATTGGTGCAAATACCAAAGGGTAAGAAGCTAAAGATCATTTATAAATGTAATAAAGGTTTTTAGATTAGATGGGAAATAAGTTGCCAGTACGTAAAGCACCACTGAGTTTGCACTACATCTCTTTCGATGCCCATGGCACTGCAGTAAAATAATTTAAAGCATCACATTTTATACTTTAGCCGATTAGTTTGTAATAATCAAATTCGTCTTTAGTTGCTTCTATTTACTAACTAGATTTAGCCTGCAACTTCGTCCGCATGGAATTTCAAAATGATCCCAGGGGCTCGTTTTTTACGTTATAAAGTTTATTATAAGGTATCAGTTATTGTGTTGAAATGCTTGAATATTTAAATTAAAATTAATTAAAAATATAACCTTTTATCTAACTATCAAGCAAAATAAACCGTAAATAAGATTTTATTCGAATAGATCGGTCCGTGACACACTTCATGACAATTATGCAAAGAGCTACTTTTTAAACGAATTTCATGCGAATAGATCGGCCCAGGAAAACATTTTCTTTTAGGAGCTTTTCCTCTAAGTTTCAGGTCTCTACGATTAGTGGTTTAGGCTGTGAGTTGATCGCAAAGTCTTTGTAAGTTTTGAAATTATTAAAAGCGTAGATATGTTTTTGAATTAGACAATTTTAAACCCAATTTGATTTTTTTATCGCTTGTCCCGTGAATCTACTTTATCTATATATATATTATCTATATATATAAATGCTTATGTTAGATTGTTTCTTAGGTCAGATTGCTTCCTTGGTTTCTGTAAAGGTTTATATGTAAAGAAAAAAAATTCGGGAGGTAGACTACGGAATTAACAGGAAGACTATTCTTCATTCCGCGACCAGAGACTAACCTAATTGGAAAAATCGTATTTATCGTTCGATTAACTTGAAATTCGGTACATACATAGATGAAGCATTACGAAAAAATCATATTAATAATTCTTTTTGTTCAAATTCTTTTTTATGGGAAATGGTCTATATTTAGTTACGAATTGTTTCGCTCGTAAACAATTATTTGTCGCTCTGCCAATGCATCAAGTAAACTAAATAATATTAAAAAAATTATACAAAACTTCATATTTCATACATTCAATGAGTGTATGCCATAGCAAAGCAGAGTACATTTAGTTTTTATATAATAATGAATAGAAGTTACATGAGTTTACACGATTTCAATTACATATTAGCTGGCCTAGAATTAGGAAAAATGAAAATTTTAAATAAAATATATTAAGCATCTCTTTTTTCTATTCAATTAACATATCAGCGGGGGAGGAACAACAGTGACCAGAGTGCAGCAACAAGGAAAACGGAAAATGTCCGATATTATATCCAAAGGAATCAGTTCGATGGAGGCGAAACGTTCAAAATTGCAATAGATGTGAATATTTTATTAGGTTAAAATAAAATTGTAACATAAGTATTTATTTTATTAGTTTAGTAATGAATTTTTTTATTGAAAAAATATATGTTAAGTTACTATATCTGCTAGTAATAATTCAATTGAATGCAATTGATTTTTATCACATAAAATAGCTGAGTTTATTTTATTAATATTTAATTACTTAAGAATACTCTTAAAACTAAATTAACCTGAATGTATTGTTAATCTAAAAATGAGTAAATATCCATATACCATACATAGAAAATTGCCTAAATTATTTTGGGAAAAATTCGTTAATATTAATTCTTTTTTTTTTTAATTTTGATCAAGAAATGCTAATAAAAATATATGCAAATTGACAAAAAACCAAAACTTCAGGTATCCGCACACAGGCAAACAACTTCATCTTCTATAAATTCGTCTTGGCAACTAAATCCAATAACTTCTGAGCCAAAAGTTATGAAAAGACGTAAAAGAGTAACAACTCAATAGAGGAATTAAAAAGATGTACAAATTACGCCATGCGCCAGGGATAAAGTCACGATGTGTGGATATTCTTAAAAGAATATTCCAAGCACCAGAAAGTCGGCTAACATGAACACATATACATACATTGGCATATCCATTAGCTTTTAAAGAAAAAAAATATGTGCACGTGAGTCAGCGAACTGTTCTTTCAAAATACACATACCCAAAATGGAGGGGAACCAAAACCGGCAAAGAAACCTAAGGTTTTTATAAATAATATATAGATTTTATTTCATATCAGAAATACACTAGCAGGGCTTCACATACAATTCTATTTTTATAATTTTGTTCTAATATTTTAAATGTTGTACTGGCTATCGACCGTCGACTTTCATTTCATCTTTGCTCAACATCGTAGAGGGTTTAGTCTTTAGCCGTTGAAAATGGACTTTCTTTTTTTATTGCCTATCATTAACATTTTTGTTGGTATTAATGTAAATTATCTACGATTCCAAAGTTATGCCAACAATGCCTTGGTTTCGAGTTTTTCGATGTGTCGAACTGTCAAGTAGCTTAATTAGTTTTTTGTGCTGCAATCTAAAGCTTAATATAATACAACCATATTTTGGACCGCAGTTAAGTCGATTAGCCTCATGGCATTTAGGAATATTTTGTCGCGGAGGATAATTTTGACATGGCGAGAGTAACGCTTATAAATAAACTGCAGAGGCTCATAAAAGTCATCTTTAGTCAAATCGCTTTCCACTTCTGTTGTTGTGAGGACTCAAATGAACCATATGTTGAAAAACTTTGCTTTGATGCGGATTGTGGCGAGACATTCATTCACCGGTGTGAATAACATGATTCGGAGTTTGAGTCTCCATGAGTGCGCTCTTTTGTACCACTGATGTACTACATGTCAAAGAACATACTAGTTTGCCTTGACTACACTCTTACGTGGACAGTTGGATCTTGTGCATTCCAATTAAAGGAGCATACATTCCAGATTCCTGCGCTCAATTTGTGATCCTTAAAATATTTGTGGGGTCATTATCAAAAGTTGGCATATTTTGATTTTCCATTGGTATATATTTTTACACACAACCACAGACTTACGTGATCTTCTACACTTGGCGCCATAGTTTAGGCTGCGAGCGGTTTTCACAATACTTCGATGTGTATCCTGGTTACAAGTTCTCTTAGATTTCGGTCCGTTTTTATAACCTTTTGTTATGATGGACGAAAGAAGGATTTGGTTTTGTGTCTTAAGGTGTGCGAAGGACTTTGACAACAATGGCTTGTGGATTACCATAATTCCGAATGCGGCAATTTTGTTTATAACGTACCCTCTCCACCAAAAGTGAGCTCGCAAACCAAGATGCTTCCGCAAAGTCTAGCTGAATTACCAAATCTACTGGGCGTTGTTAAGAAATTGCGATTGAGTATAAATCAAGTAAGGGCTGTCAAAAAGACCAACTCGAAAAAAATTTTGTCTCATTGCTACGGAGGTTCCCACATTTGTGCAAATTTATCACAGCAGAGCGTAGTCCGGCATAAGCTCTTCATGGAAAAGTTGTCATAATTACATATTTTGAAACAAAACGTCGATGTTGCGTTTTTTTTTCATTAGGAAAACTCACAAAATAAAAAAAAAAACTAATAAAAGAGCTGGTGTATTTACGTCAAACCCCAAAAAAAAAGCCAATCTTACTAATTATTCCGTTAAAATGGTAGTTTTTAATGAAATCAACAAAAAGACATGTGAAACTATCGCTTGAAACATTAAAACAAAAACCTGAAAGAACTTTTTTGGAATAGCAGAAAAGTACATTTTCTGAATACACGTAGAGAAATTAATGTTTTGCAGAGAAGCTCGGCCGAAAATCGCTTTAGCGCTAATTAAAATTACATACATATATGTATAATATCTATATCTATATATATATACAGCCTCGGCCAAAAGTATTAGACACCCCACTAAAATACAAATGGCACTCTATCACTTCGAACCACGGAGGAATGGTTTCGATTCAGAGCCGATGAAAACGACACCATGGATAAGCCAGCCGGCGGAAGACCTGTGACGACAAATACCGATCAAATCATGGAATACATCGAGTTAGACCGGCATATGGCATCTCGTGACACCGCCCAGGAGATGGGAGTTAGTCACTAAACCATTTTGAACCATCTGCAGAAGGCTGGATACAAAAAAAGTTTGATGTTTGGGTGCCACATAATTTGACGCAAAAAAACCTTCAGGACCGAATGAACGCCTGCGATATGCTGCTGAAACGGAACGAACTCGACCCATTCTTGAAGCGGATGGTGACTGGCGACGAAAAATGGATCACATACGACAATANTTGGTCGTTATTCCGTCAAAAAAAAAAAGCATCTAGGAGCGTGAAGTCAGGGTCCCTACTACGTATGCGATCTGAACGCAACGTAATTTTAAAATGTGTCAGCGTTATATTCCAAGTTCATATAAATGAAGCGAGAAGTATCAAAATATATAAACAATTTAATTTCGATCACTGTAACACTTTTTATAAAGCATTGAATGAAGAGCAAAAAAGCGGAAGGGAGATATTTGCAAACCTTATATTAAAAATCATAGCACTCTGGGTAAGCTAAACTTAAAAATTGTCATTTGTAAGAAATTCATAAAATTTTTTCGCATTTAAAATTTGAAAGTTAAAGTGTAAATTACATTTCGTGAAAAGTTTCCAATCTTATATAAACAGTTCATATTTACCGAAATGCCTAAAAAAAATAAATTAGTTACGATGATAGAGTTAGAATTCAAGTTCTAAGTGAAGTAGGTAAGTCTCAGGTTGATATTGCCAATTTGGTGGGATGTTCGCGGTGCGCGATCCAATGTGCTATCAGGCGTTTTGTGGTGACGAAATCCCACAATAACAAATCAAAAAGTGGCAGAAAGCGTGTAATCAGTAAACGAGAAGATTGAATCCTTATACGCGAGTGTCTCAAGGGTCGCGAAAACCATTCTTCTGTCCTTGCAGCTGCCCTTTTGGATGAATTTAGTAACAACAACAACTAGAAGAAGACTCCTGGAAGCTAGTTTAAAAAGATGTAAAACCTTAAAGAAAAGAATAGGAAAAAATCGTTTGGAATGGGCTCGCCGATACCAACATTTCACGGAAGAAGATTGGTCGATTGTTCGATGGTCTGATGAATCAAGCTTCGAGGTAAGCTTAGTTAATATCGTCTTAAAGTATTAACAGAGCAATTTCGAAGACATAATACAAATCTTAAGAAAACATAATTTTTTCTTATCTATAGATATTTGGAACACTTGGTGTGACGTTCGTGAGGCGACGGGTAGAGGAAGAATATCATCCAGATTGCATGGTACCCACTGTTAAGCATAGAGGAGGCAGCATTATGATCTGCGGCTGCAAGGCTACTGATGGTGTCGGCGAAATGTTCGTTTGCGAGGGTCGCAAGGACAGTCAAAAGTACATAAATGTGTTATAAGCTGTTCTTCTGCCTTCGTTAACGCGCATTTTCGACGATACTAATTTAGACGGGGTTCAATTACATCAAGACAATGCTCCTTGTCACAAATCAGCGACTAAGATGCGTTGGTTTAGAGATAACAACATTGTTTTGTTATGTTGGCCTGCACAGCCTCCAGATCTTAATCCCATTGAGCACATGTGAGCTATTTTAAAACGCAAGACTAAGGAACAAAGTAAAATATTAAAAATTGCTTAAAAGAATGCCTTAATTAACGCGTGGTACGCTATAAGTGCGGACGAATGTGCAAAGCTTGTCCCTAAAAGAATTGCTGCCGCTATTAAATCGAAGAGTGGAGCTACTAAATATTAATGTTATTATCACTAATTCATTGTAGCTTCAGTGTTTTTCTAATAAAGCTTCATTACTTCACTTGTTAAAAAAAAAATCAGTAATTAGTGTGGTGCGTAATACTTTTGGACAAGGCCGTATATATAATGTCAAAATTCACACTCCGTAGGGTTGACATTTCCTCACAAGAAATAAAAAATCTCCTCCTCCGAATTTTCGAAAAAAAAAAAATAATAAAGCACTCAGCACACCAGCTAAACCAAAGTCCTCTTTCGGCAGTTAAAAAACAACTAAACTAAACATTAAATATTTCTTCATTTTAAAATTAATTATTTGGTTCTTTATTCTTTAAAAAAATTTATTTCTAATATACGTATGTATGTTATGTTAAACACATAATCTTATGCTAATTGCTTACTAATATGTTTTACAAAAAAAAAATTCTCGATTTTTGCCAACAACAATAAATCGAAATATCTTATTTCAAGTTAAAAAAAAATTCAATGAAATTGCTTCATATTAGATATATGTATATACATAAGTAAAATAAAATGTTTATAAAATTTTATGACAAATTAAAATGTAATCATGTACACTTACATACTAATGTAAAATTATAATAATTATTATTTAATTAATTATATTTATTGATATTATCAATTCAAAGCGAATAGTGCTTTCGTTTCTGGATGAAGACTACGCATTGCACCCCTTGGGTGTGAGAAGTAAACTATAAAATTCCATTCCGTCACTGAACTGCTCTTCGATAAATTTATATTGATTTTGTAATAAGAAGTTAAATGTTTACATCTCAAAACAACGACCACTGATCAACCATTTCTGTTGTGCTTTGACAAAGGTATCATATGTTGCCTGTTTACCAGAGCGGGCAAAGCGTTGAAAAACAAAATGCTCGGAAAAAAATTCCGAGATTAAAATACGAAACTACAACAACACT